CCAGATTGAGCAGGATAAGAGCTAAAGTAGCAAATGAATTTGCAGTACACCTCATAACGCGATTCACATTTTAGATGTGAACGCGCCACGTAGGCCGTGAATGGCAACAACGTTAAACTAACGCGTAATGGTAACGGGAAAATGGCAACAAATTAAACTCTAATGTCGCGCAACATTAGCCAGCACCTTAAAGAAGAATCGGTGACCGACCCAACGGTAGTGCATGAAGACGTCAGTCGTATCAACTAAACTGACTTTGCCAACGCGCTCATCCCAATCACCTGCCCTGACGCTCATAACAAATGCACTACCGTCACCGTTGCATTCGGCATAAATAAAGACGGTCTATATATCACAACGCGTGACTCATCATGACTACCATCGAAGAGGCCGAGGCCGCACCAAAAACGTCGACAATGCCACCTTCGAGCGCAGCAACAAACAGCACTTTCGCTAAAGTCTAAACAATAACGATTTCACTTATCAGACACCCGAAACCAACGAACAACCACCAATATGCAACAAACATTACAGCCACATTTTTGAAAACCCAATGCAAACCTAACAGACAACATTCATCCTAACCAGGGACCGTCTCATAAGTAAAATTAGCGATACGTTTTTAGTTCTCAAAACGATTATAAAACCTGCTGATCAATTGCTTGCGCAATCGATCGACTAATACACGGTGAATGCAGGAAATATTGGAACAATGTGTATATAGATTTGCGAATTGTAAATAATAGTACTACAATTTACTCGTCATATAGTAGCAATATTAAATTAACTAAAAGTAATATATAGTGATTTTTACTAGAACTGCATTAAAGCTTTGATTCATCGTGGTATACGGTAGTCGTCGTTACTAAGTTTTAGAGTATAGCAGAAACATCGATTGATTTATTAAAATTCTGGAAACTGTTTACTTCAAATACCAAATTTCAATTTTAAATATTATTATTAATGTCTTAGGCAGATAATCAGTACTAGTACTAGATGGTTATAGGTCGCAATTATTTACAGAAACAGGACGTATCTTATAAAAATGAGTCGAAGCACTGCTTATCTCGATAAATAATAGTACGCAAGTGTCGAAATTGAATTTTTCAATTGAATCTAAATCAGTTTAATGAAAATATTTCAGCCTTGAAGACATTTTCTCAAATTATGGACTAGGGCGTCAATTCCTTCCGTCGACAAGAAAGCAACAATATTGGTCCATTTTGTTGAAGATTCAGAATCGTGGGCAATTTGCCAAATGCTAATACATGATTCGACGATGCTCATTCAGTAAATCTCAACAGACAATTTTCAGTGCTGATTAATTACCTTAATTTTCAATATTTTAGGGTAGTTTACTAAATTATTAACGAGCATAAGTCAGTAATGACTCCAAATACTACTTATTTTGGAAAGCGTATTCTTTAGCAGTATCTTCATATTCTGAAAGTGCAGTTCTGTTTCATCATTTTGCAATAAGTCAATAAACAAAAATAAGAAGACGAGCAGATGCAGCAACAGAGTTCTTTATCACCATGATCACAAATAAGTTTACTCGCTAAGTCAAAATGTCAGTAATTTATTCGAAATTTCGGACCGTACTCGATGTATCTTCATGGGCCATACCATACCTGCAAAGGCTATCAACCTAAAACATGTGGATACAACAGTGGCATTATATTTTGTATAGTAATAATCACACGCTTTCTTATAAGAATTTGTTGAAATAGTGTAAGTTGATGATCTATGCATGTACGCTAAACCCTCTAAGAAAGGATCTAATATGACCTGAAATGTCGGAGAAATTGTTAGTGATCTAACTGTACGTAGTAAAGTGGTTGATGATTATGGTGACGAAGATTATAAACAGGAATAAATTGCGATGAATTTTAATACGTTTTATTAAATGTTTTTGAAACGCGCTATCAGGTGCACTGTAGAGGAGAATTAGGCACTTATTCAAAAAGCAATGACTGCTGTGATCGACTGAAATTAAATTCAGCTTAGATAAGACTTTAGGATATTGATCATGGGTTCGGAGTTATGCAGATAGATGGCTGAATGATTCATGGTTCAAGGGAGCAAATACAGCAGATGGTAAAACCTGTATTGCTAGCGCGCTTTGTCATATACATAGTAGAATGATCAAGTCTGTGAGCAAACGACGCTTGTTTTCTCAATTTTTATAAATTTAAGCATATTCCCTATGCTAGATTCTCTGAAAACTTCGTCTGAAAGGTATCCTGAATGCCAGTTCCATGATTTTTCAATTTTTTGAGTTATTCTATGACCAATTATTAATTCATGAAAGCTTAGAATCGTTTATTCTGCTAGAGCTGAAGCACCTGTAATCGTAGTCATAGTCTATGTGGTGCTATGGCTTGCTGCGAGGTTCTCTAATGTGAGTTTCTCCGGAGCAAAAATGCGCTAAATAACCCTGCACCTTCTTAGAATTTTAATGCTCTGAACGCACTCTGTTCGAATTTATAGAAACCGGCACAACGCCGATATTTTGAGATAGCTACTGCAAATAGCAATTTCAGTAGTTCGAATTTATTTGAATGCTATTCAACTAAAAACTGGTCGATCCATATATCTTTTCTGACAATTTAAGCAGGCAGAAAAACAGTTTCACCTATAGTTTTCTTAAGAATAGTTTCTGTTCTTCTTACTGTTTTCAGCACATATTTGTGATACCCGGATTCAGCAGTTTAAGTGATATCGAACTGGAATGTTTAACTGGAATTTACTGGAAGCTTTGTCATACGCTTAAGTTCAGAGTTAACTAATAGAACGATTACTAATATTCCGAATATGATTTAAAAAACCATGTCGGTTCAGACACTGAAAACGGGAAAGATATGACTTGAGAAAAGTTACAGCGGCAGCTGGGAAATTCTTGCAGCTTCCAGATATCCTAATGATAGAAATTGAGTCTTTGAAGATCAGGTTTCATGATCAAAGGGGCAGGACAATACGTTATGAAATTTAGTCCTGAAGGAGTTATGCGTCAGTTGGCATACTCCAACATATGAACATAACTTGTTATTCATGCGGTAGCATATAAGGCCATTCTCGAAACATCGTTTGTAATGTGCACGAGGCGTCTCTAACAGACAAAATGATGCGAGATGCATCTGGCACTGCAGGTGTTCAAATGCCATCAAACCACGGCCTGCTTAAATCTCCCTTACTCAAGGTAACAATGAGCACCTGAGTGATGCACTGCACATTGAAATCAGGTTTTGAATGAGTAAGGCGTTATCTCACCTACTCTTGTGTATCAGCATACTTTTGTAATTGAAAATAAATCTGAACCGCATGATAATTGTCGTACATTTTTAAGCTTGATTAAGAAGAGCGACATGTGTTAATGGCGTTCGGGTTCATGCGCATTATTGCAGCGTTGCTGTGTCATTCGTTTGAAACTGGTCACAATGATCAATAATCAAACTAGCTTTCAAAAATCTGCTTGCCAGAACTGAAACTTAAATATTTCAAGGATATTTCTTCTGGGGATAGAATCTGCCTCGGAATTTGCTAGTTTTCATACTGCAAGAACTTTCACAGCAAACTTGCGTCACCTGTCCTCTAGAAATGTTCATAGCGATCTCACAAACTGTTTCGAGCCACTGATCAGACTGATAACCCTAATCCTTCCTTATCTTTTCGTGTTTAAGTCAGTTCTTCTCCCCGCATATAAATGTCGAATCAGTTTATCCCTGTAATTCGATCAGAGAGTAGATAATTGACAGCATTATTTCATGTTACTTTCATGGTCTCTTGGACCGCCCCAATTACATGCGATAATTCTTTGCCCCATAGAGTTTCCAAAATACTCTATCTTGAACTCAAAGTGTAACTTTGCGGCATCACATTTTTTGAGAAATGTTCATTCATTCTCATAAGATAGCCAAAAAATCGTTTTACTCTTGCGTGCCTTTAGAAACCCAACGTTACGTAGCAAATAGTTTCATAATGCCCTTATTAGTCTGGTTTCCTTTTCAAGATATTAGTGGAGTTCACAGTAACTGCAAATTTCCGATGCTTTTCCTCTCATTGGTACTCCAGCCTTTGCAACCAGAACTTGAGACAGACTATCTCAGGAATTTAAGAACATTCAGTTTGATTAGCCTTCCCATAGTAGCAACGGTAAATCTTAAACAGTCTTGATATCCATGATTTTTTCAATTACGGTTGCTAGAAAATATAGAACAGGCACTCACTACTCCTTTCCAGGATTAAATCTCTGCATTATCATAATCAGCTATACTTCCTTGAAATCATGATTTTTCTCCACGTATACTCTGCACATACCTTTATTGATTCAGGTGCATTACAGCTTCCATACGTTTCTACGGAATTTCATCGAGGTTAAATTTCCATGTTTCTGTAAAATACATCACAAGATCTTGCGGAATACGACGAAAAACGCTAATGAAATTGAAGCCAGTGTTCATTGGTTTTCAGGAAAACTTAACCGGTGGGTGTTGAAAACATGCAGCTATGAAAGTTTACCATTAAATATTACAAAGTGACAAACTAATGTGTAAATTGAGGAAAGTTTCGTTTGGTAAATGTTAAAAATTGATGCTAGATAAGTAAAAAAGAAAAGGATGAAGATGGTGAGCCTCAATAAGAAGAGTCCGCCATTTTAGTGGGGGCATTTTTAATATGAAGAAAGTATCGCTGAAAAAGACGTCGAAACTAAGACCCATGCAAACATGCACGACGATAAACAAAATCGACAAAGATGCTTCACTAGGTAGTACGTCGTGAAGGAACACTATACCAGATCATTTGAGTGGTTATCCGATAGCGCGATAAAATATTGAATGGGGAAGAAAAACATAACTCTGTTGTTACTAGCCCTAAGGGTGGATAAAAAATGCGGAGGGTTGGAGACGCGGCGAGGACTCGG